GAGAATGACCCCCATCTTTCCCTGGAACTGCTTCCTGGGAATAGTTTCTTGATTCATTCTTCATGTTCGGTCCTTGGAGTGGACAATCCTCTTCCATTTATTCTCCTTGACCACATTTGAGAGGACATTGGATTTATTTCTTACTTTGAGTTAGAATCTAAGTTGCCACACTAGCCTCCAACTTGCAATCTTTCTGCCTCCACCTCACAACTCACTGGGATTATAGGCATGTGCCACTTTACCCAGCTTTAGGAACCACTTTAATCAGTTCAGAGGTTTTTACAAAAGACATAACACACTTAATGTGGCCCTTGTCACAAAAATGAGTTTTCATCAAATTTTGTCATCCTCAGTTTTATTTTATTTTTTTCTTGGTGCTGGGAATTGAACCCAGGGCCTCACACACGCTAGGTAAGTGCTCTAACGTTGAGCTACATCCTCACCCTTTTTTAATTCTTTAAAATTTGAGAGAGGGTCTCACTAAATTACACAAGCTGGCCTTGAACCTGTGATCCTGATGGCTCTGCCTCTCAATTATCTGGGATTACAGGCAGCATGTGTCACTGCATCTGAATTTAGGTATCTTCTCTTTTTGGAGGGAGAGCTATCAGGAATTGAACTCAGGAGCATGTGACCACATCCCCAGCCCTATTTTGTATTTTATTTAGAGAGACAGGATCTCACTTTTGTTGAGGCTGGCTTTGAACTCACAATCCTCCTGCCCATGTGCCACCGCACCCAGGTAGTTGTATCTTTTACTGGTTAAAAATGTGTATCATGGGGGCTGGGGATGTGGCTCAAGCGGTAGCGCGCCTGGCATGCGTGCAGCCTGGGTTCGATCCTCAGCACCACATACAAACAAAGATGTTGTGCCCGCCGAAAACTAAAAAATAAATATTAAAAAATTCTCTCTCTCTCTCTGTTTGTCTCTCACTCTCTCTTAAAAAAAATGTGTATTATGGGCTGGGGTTGTAGCTCAGTGGTAGAGCGCTTGCCTAGCATGTGTGAGGCACTGGGTTCGATTCTAGCACCACATGTAAATAAATAAATAAAATAAAGGTCCATCAACAACTAATAAAAAAAAGTATGTCATGTAGGCACTGTGGTGCACACCTGTAATCTCAGTGACTCAGGAGATTAAGACAGGCAGGATGATGACAAGTTTGAGGTCAACCTGGGAAATTTAGCAAGACCCTGTCTCAAAGTAAAATATAAAAAGAGCTGGGGATGTAGCTCAGTAGTAGAGCACCCTTGGGTTCAATCCCCAGTAACTAACACACACACACACACACACACACACACACACACACACTCCTAGCTTGGCAGGAGAATCACAAGTTTCATGTCAGCCTGGGCAATTTAGAAAGATCCTGTCTCAAAATAAAAAATTTAAACAGCTGAGGATGTAACTCAGTGGTAAAGTGCCCCAGGGTTCAATCTCCATTATTGGGGTGGGGGAAAGTGTATCACTTGACTGGAGTTTCTTTATTCTCTTTCATTTCTGCTTAAAAACTCACCAATTTTGGGGCAGGGCTGTAGCTCAGTGGTAGAGCACTTGCCTTGCATGTGTAAGATACTGGGTTGGGTCCTCAGCCAACCTTTATTTAAATAAATAAAGATATTGTACAAAAAAAAGATATTATACCAACTACAACTAAAAAACAAATTTAAAATAACTCACCAATTTTTCTGAGTTGTTCTTTTCTTAAAGTAATCTATCAATGCACCCAACGGTGGCCAATGTATGCTATTTTAATATTTTTTTTTGCCTAACTTTTGCCTAAAGCCCTAAAGTCATTTAGTCATTATTATATTCTTGGTTATTCCCAGTTTAGTTTAACAAGATACTTCATGACTTCAAAACAAGTATCACCATTCTCCCAACTTCCAATAGTTTTTCACCAGTAACTGTCTAGCTCAAAGCCGATGCCACGTAATTTAGGCTTATTTTGTTTTTGTTGTTGTAGCAGCACCCCAATTTTAGGTATTAATTCTGTAACAGATTTCAAACTAATTATAATATGGTGATGAACAACTTTAATACATCAGTAGCCAACAGCAGAAACATGTTTTTCACATTACACATCATCTTACATGTGGGCTATAGCCTACTTTCATGTCATTTCATTGTGAGCTCCAAGCTCAAAGAGAATTCTAGATCTAGAAATTGCCAGGCTCATGGCAGAGGGAAAAGACAAGGGAAGCTGCCAGATTACTTTGTGGAGTTTTTTTTTTTTTGTTTTGGTTTTTGTTTGTTGTACTGGGGATTGAACCCAGAAGGGCTCTACCACTGAGTTATATCCCAGCCTCCTTTTTTATTTTTTGAGACAGGTCTCACTAAATTGCAGGGGCTGCCCTTGAACCTGTGATCCTCCTGCCTGTCTCCCCACTAGGTGGGATTTATAGGCATGTGCCACCACATACAGCTCATGTTTGGAAGTGATACTTTACCTTTCTACTCATATTCCATTGGCCAAAGAAAGCCAAGGCACAGAGCCCCACTCCTGTCAGTGGGGCATGAGTGTATAATTCTCCTATAGTGAGAGGCCCAGTAGGGAAGGACAATAAATATTTGAAACAATAATTCTATCTTCCACAAGGCTGTACCAAAGATGTCAATCACTGAACTTGTTCACTCCTCCATCCACCACATACACACTCCACTACAGCATTTGGTACCATGTAGCACCCTACATACATCTTGGCCAAGAATAAAGTTATGACTCAAGGACAGACAATTCCTAGGCAGGTCAACGTAGCCTGACCTGGAGAGTGGACTAGACCAGCTTCTTGGGAAATTGAACCACAAATATTGAGTAAGTTGCAGCTAGACTGTAAACAGGTAGATTTGAAAAAGTTACAGTTAACCCATAGTCTGTTCCTTGAAAGTTAAGCTAAAGCAAAGCAACGTCACCAGGATTTCAATGCAAAATCTACCTCCTCTTGACTCTTTCCAGAGGTCAGTGTCCCACAGGGAATGGTGTGTACACAGAGAAACCTGTGGGAGCTCTGATGCATTGCTCCACTTACTCACTTGCCTGCCAGGTCTGTTCCAAAATTTTACTCACCTCTTCAAACCATTAATGTGTCCCCACAATCCACAGAAGTTCAAACTACTGAGCCCACCAAGCATCCAAGGGCTCACCTGATCATCTAGTCACCTCTTCCAGGAGGTTCTGAATGGTTTTCTGGGTGAGACAGGTGATCTCTCTTTCAGGGGTGGCGCTGTCCAGCACAGCAAAGAAGCACTAACATGTTGTTTAGTTCAAGAACATCCAGCTGCATAGATGTGGATACCCAAAGAATCAGATCCCCATAGATGCCACAGATTTTGTGGTTTTACTCTGAAGGCAGAGAGGTAAGAGAGGACAAAGGCAGCCAACTGGAAAGAATTCCACTGGAGATGCAGGCAACAGGAGGAAAAGGTGGAGAATCAGGGAAGCCCAGAGGCCCCCAAGTCCAAATTCAGTCTGGTATTGGGGCAGGATCCTCCCAGCTCTCCCAGCTTCCCCATAGAGTGGTCATCTAGGTTGGGTTTTCACACTCCTGGGAATGGGAAGCTCTTTGCTGTAAAGTCCTTAACTCACTACCCCTGCAAGTCCCTCCACAATTCCTCCCTCCTCTTTTGGAAGTTTCGTCTTGCCCCTGGAGCTCTGAGATCCAACCACTTTTGCCTGTCTGTGGACTCACTTGGAAGTCCTGCCCATATCAGCTTCCTAGATCTAAGAACTATTTAATACCAAGGAGTAGAGATGACCACCCCTAAGTCCGCTAGCCAATCATTTTTCCAGTTGCAACCAAGCCAATGCCTCAGCTCACCCCCCACCCCACACACAAACTGCTGGCCAAGCTGCTAGAGATCTCTGACCAGATACAGATGTTGTCAGTTGCCACTCTAGGGCCATAGGTAGGTGCTGCAGGCAGCTACCCTGCCACAGGTGGAGGGAGAGCAGGCCCCCATTAGCTTGTTCCAATCCTTGCACCCAGTCCTGCCCTCCAGTCCCTCCCCCAACTCATTTCCAGGTGTCACACCAAATGCACCAATGACACCACATGTATCCATTCCCCAATTCTTGGTACATCCTGCAGCTGGATGGCCTGAGCCGAAAGGGGCAGTAGCAGCCTGTGGGATTGAAAGTGGGATGGACTGGGCCACTAAAACTCCGCCCCCAGACCTTGGGGACCAGAGCCAAGCACACCCCTATTCCAACCAGGCATCAGAGCCAGGAATCAGCTTACCCTTTGAAACCAAGTGTCTGGGACAGGAGCCACATCCTCCAGAAATGAGGCATGTGGACTAGGAATGCTTAGAATTTAGAGTTAGGGTTTGTAGTTCATATGTCTTATGGAAATCAGGGTCCTTGCTCTTCTGACTCTTCTACCTCCTTCCACCTGGTAACCTTGCAGTAATCAGGTATGCTGTTCTGGGGTCATGGCTCTCTAAGTTGAACTCATAAAAAGCAATGCCTTTTAGGTAAAGGGCCTAGGTTGCTGAGATTGCCTGGCAGTCTCTTTGGCTGCATCTTTCTATAACTGAATCCTTCTCATTTACCATTCAAAATAAATGTCCCCTCTGAGATCAGACCTTCCTGACCACTGTACCCAAAGTAACAGCCTCACTTACTCAATTACTTTTTCATGATGCCTCTTCCTTTTGGCCTCAGGGACACTACTAATATCTTTCTCTCTCTCTCTGTCTCACACAAACACACACACACACACATACACACTTCTTGCCTGATAAGCTCATCAATTCAGGTTTATGTACTCACAGTGGGGGCACAGTATGAGCTGGGAGCCAGACAAAATCTCTTCCCAACACACTCTACCCATTCTGTGGGAGAACAGACGGACAGAGCCAGTCCGCTGTGGTCACAACACCTAGGGCATTCTGATCTGAGCCTGTCTGACTGAGCCTGGCCCCAGGAGTGTCCAGGAGGTGGGAAGCTAGACAGTGGAAGCCCTGGGCCAATCCTTCTAGGAATACACATGCACAGGGGTCTCCAAGATTTTTTAATTTTTTTACAAAACCATGTGTCCCAGTCAAACAGGACACTACAGGCCCTTCCCCAGGCATCATGGCCTGAAGGGGGAGGCCCCACTGAATAAGCAGCTGTCAATCCTGAAAAAACCATCTGCCCCTTTGCGCAGGGGCCAGTGTCCGGACAGGGGTCCAGCTGGAGACTCTGCCCTGCCCCCACAGCTGCTGGGAGAGAAGGCCAGGCCCCAGTCCCTGGCACTCCCCATATCTGCAAGGGAAGGAGGGAGAAGAGGGTCTGAGGGGAGGCGGGAAGGCTGGTGCCAGGAACAGGGCAAGCCCACCATATCTCACCGAGAATGAGCAACATTATCCAACTGCTGTGGTGATGCCAATGATGACAGCTAGGATGAGAACAGTGATGGACACACAGATGGCAATCATGACTTTTTTCTGTGGGAGAAGAGGAGTCAGGAAAATCACTCAGGAACACTTGGGGCTGGGGCCAGGGCTGGAGGCTCACCTTCCTCGCCTTCTTCTGGTTCTCCAGAGCTTTCTTGACATGTTCCTGCCCACGTTCCACATAGTCTGCTGAGCTCAGGATGTTCTTTTCTATCCGGTTGATCATCTCCCCCTGCACAGAGGATAGAATGATTTAGGGAGACAGGGATGACCAGGCAAGGGGGGCCCAGCAACTCCTTTGCCCACCCCAGACACAAATGACTAAAGGACAGTCTTAGAAAAAAAAAAACTGCACTAAAGAAGATATGGCAGGACCAGATCTGATAAAAGTTGTGACTCCTAAGGACGGCTTCCTGGGCTCCTTCAATCAATGTGGTCCCTTCTCCCCTGTTCCCTTATTTCATACAACCTCCTTTTGTAAGGGCAAGATGGAGCCACGGGCCTCAAATGGCTCCTACCTTTTTCATAGATATTGAACTTTTGTCCCCTTACAAATCTATCTGAATTCATCCATTCTTCTATGTCTGTTTCCCAGCTGCTATGAAGCCCTCCCTGTTCCTGCCTCCTCCTGGCACTACCAGCCTTCAGGTCCTGGTACTCCTACTGAATGAAAGCCCTTTCCCATGACTCCCAGCTGCAAAAGGGCATTGGCTGTAGCACTACTGAGGTCAGCTCCTCAAGGACAGGGCTGGAAGCTTACCTCAGCTCCTACAATGGGCCAGAGGAATACCACTGACACCCCAACCTTGCTCAAATTTTAGAAGGCAGGTCCTCTAGGGGGAAACTTGGGAGCTCTTAGAATCATGAAGGTGGGTTCTGTTGGTAGTGGAGGAGCCATGATTGAGGCCATACCTGGGGTAGGTGCAAATTGGAGAGATGGATGGGAGGTTATGTACAAAGGAGTGGCCATCTGGGTAGCAGTGGAGGTGGGCACAATTCTGGGGATTTGGCTAGGGATGGAAGTAGGGGCCACCTGAGACATGGCCAAGCCTGGAAGAGCACAAAAGCCCAGGAAAGAGTCTAAGGGTGGAGAGATTGGTCCCAGGTTGAGACTGAAGGCTCTGACTATGCATAGCCTCCCATCTGGGGGCTGCCCACAGTACCCACCTGCATCTCCACTTCAGTTGCTAAAAAAGTGAAGATCTCATGAAGCTCACGGATACTGCGTTCAAGCTGCTGGATCTCACTATGCCGAGCTGAAATCTCATTTAGGGCCTGTCGAGTCACCTGTGTGTCCTTCAGTATCTGGGGGGATGTGGACAGAAGAGAGGAAATAGATCACAGGGTGACCAGCAACAGGTCAGAAGCTCCTGTTGGGTTTTTGGGGCAGTCCCCTAGCCAAGGAGCAAAGTCAGGAACCTGATGAGTGACTCCATAATGGGCTGCAGTATGCCCTGAGTCAAAAGGCACCAGGGATCAGAGAAAATGGGAGGCCCAGCAGAGGGAAGATGGCCATGGGCACTCACATTGGATACAAACACCTCACTCTGCCCACTGTCCAGCATCTGCTCCAGCTCCTCATCAGAAACCATTCCAGCATTGGCTGTAAAAGAAAAGGCCAGCTCAGAGCTGGGTCAGCATTACCCGACACCACAGGTCTAGAGCTCCAACTCACTGATTTTCAGCTGCCTCCGAATGCGCTCCACGTTCTTTTCCCGGTATTCAGACTGCATCAAGTTGCACTTGTTGATGAGCTCCACAAATTGCTGGGACAGCACCCCATGCTAAGGATGGAGAATACAAGCTGGTCACCTCAGGAGGATCCCTGCCTCTCTGGGCCTCAGCATCCCAAGGATATAGTGAGCAAACATGAACTGTCATGAGGTGCCTACTGCCTTAACCACCCTAACAGGCTCCCTCACTTCTGAGTGAAAGCCAAAGCCCTAACCAAGGCCTAAATGGCCCTACACGATCTGCTCTGACCCCAGTAACTCTCTGACCTTATCTCCTCTTTCCCTCCAGAGTGTTCCTTATTCCTTACTTCCACTACTAGCCTTTGAATTCACTGCTTCTTCTGTCTAGTATGCTTATGCCCCACAAACATCTTTTAATCTTTGTTCCAATGTCACATTCTGAATGAAGCTTTCTCTTCCTTTTTTTTTTGTGGTTGGGGGGTACTGGGGATTGAACTCAGGAGCACCCGACCATTGAACCACATCCCCTGATGTATTTTTTTATATTTTATTTAGAGACAGAGTCTCACTAAATTGCTTAGTGCCTTGCTTTTGCTGAGGCTGGCTTTGAACTCATGGTCCTCCTGTCTCAGCCTCCCAAGCCACTGGGACTACAGGCATGTGCCACAGCGCCCAGCTTTTCTCCACCTTTTTAAAAAATTTTTTTGTGGCTCTAGTGATTGGAGATTGAACATCCTAAGCACAAGCACTACCACCGAACACTACTGTCAGCCGTCTACCTTATTAAAATTGCAACCCTACCTTCTCAGCACTCTTTGACCCTCTTCTCCTACTCGTTTGTCCTTAATACTTATTGTGTTTTTATTATTATGGCGATTGTCCTGCCCCACTAAAATATAAGTCCCTCAAAATATGGATTTTTGGTTTAAAAAGGATCCAGCACACAGTGAGCAATCAATGTATGTATGTTGAATGCTTGCTGAATGCCAGTCTCACTGCTTAAACTGGAGATCACCATGCTTTAGGTTCTCCCTAAAACATCCTCTCCGAGGCATTTTGTTCCACCTTGTTCTTCCACTGATATTTTAAATAAGCTCATCCTTTAGAATTCTTTCTTCAGAGATATATCTGCTCTCCTGGACTCAACTGCACCCTTTCAAAATGCTCCAACCTCTTCATCTTTGATTTGGGACCTTTGTTGAGCTCTGGGTCCACCAACTCCAACCCTAACCTCCAAGAACCCCAAGCCACTTCTCACTGGACACTCAGAGGGAGCCAGTCAGATCACTTCAAATCTCCTTACTAAGATGTCATCCCAGTGAAGTTCCTCTTCGGTGCTGCCCTAGCAAAGTTCCTCTTCCTGATTTCTTGAATACTGTCCATGGGGCCAAGGATGTCCCTGCCATGTAGGCAAGAAAGTTGCCAGTCATTTCTGACTTCTCCTTCTCTTTGTCTGTGCAGAGTCACCAAGTCATACATGAATAATGTGTTTGCTCCCTAATCAACCCATATTCCCAATCTCATTTCTTGAAAGCATGTCTCCTGTAGGCAAGCCAAGGTCATGTCTATGAACAAAGAAATTCACTGAATGGAGAAGAAGAAAGCAGGGTGTTATAATAGATTTTATATCAGGAAAACTAGGTTCTTCACCTTAAGTGAATACTTTCCCTTTCTGAGCCTCAGCTCCCTATTTGGAAAATCATCAGGTTAAGATTCAAGGATCTCTAAAGGGCCCTTCTTTCATACATCTGCCATTTAATGATTTATGAACCACTTACTGAAATGTCCTAGTTCTAGGAAAAATAAACCCACCTGGGTTTTTCTCATTCTTGTGTTGACGGAGTTAGAATTCTCATCAGCTTCCTCCTTCTGAGGCTCTATGGCTGTGGGAAGACGCAAGAGTCCAGAGAAAAGGATATTGACTCAAGACTTCTGGAAATTGGAAACCAGGAAAAAGGGCCACAGCCAGATCACAGCTACCTAATAGGGAGCTTCTCATTTCTGGGGAATTTTTTAGGGAACTATAATTTATGATAAAATGACTAGGGGCTGGGGATGTTGCTCAGTGGTAAAATGTATGCACAGTATACACAAGGCCTTGGATTAGATTCCCAACACCATGGGGTCAGGGAGTGGGGGGGGGACACCAATTTTGAGCCTCTGGCAACAGAAAGTTTATTTTTCCTTGCATTATATCAGTGAGTTCCCATGAGTATGAAGAAGACTCATAACAAAACCCAAAGAACGCACATTGAGCAGCAAGAACTATAGGAGTAAATGGTTTCATTCTAAATAAAGGAACCTAAAAAGCAGGCATATGTTATGAAAAGTACAGTGGACTGGATGCCAGGGTACAGAGATTCTAGACCCAGGCTGCTGTGTGACCTGGATGTATCACTGGTCTCTCAGAGGCAAAAACTCCCCAGACATACCAGGAACAGGGAAGAACCAAAGGGAAGGGAGGACCTAGGAGCTCACCCTTCAGCTGAGTGCGGATCTCCCTTCCCAGCTGTTTGATCTCATCACGCAGGTTCTGCAGGTCCTGCTTCATGCCTAAACAAGAGAAGGCCTTGATTCCCCAACCACAGCCCCCACCTCAAGAAATCACCCTGCACTTAACTACAACCCCCACAATCCATTGGGCTGAGCATGCGTACACCCGGGATTTCGCTTACTCTCCTCGGGAAGGGGCGTGGCCAGGATGGTGACCTGCTGCTTCTCCAACTCCCGGATTTTATTCTCCAGCTTGACCATAGTCTGCCGAATTGTCTGGACCTAAGAAGGATGACCGAGAGGGCTGAAAGAGATTTGGGGTACTCCAGATTTCACTGCTCCTCGGTCCTCCTACCCCCTCGAGAATCCAGGCCAAGACCCCAGCCCCTTACCTTCTGGAAGAACTCATCGTCTGGGCTCCCCAACCGACCTGTGCCCGGGTGCACCACCAGCGCAACTCGCTCCTTGTCCTCATCGTCCGAACTGTTATCCCCCTGCCAGGGCCGAAGTCACTGGCACCATTTTCATGCTGCAGTTCTCGCCCCGCAGGACCCATAGTCTTCCGGGATTTTCCTTCCTGGCCATCAGCCACCCCTCCCTCTCCCGAAGACCAGGGCTCCTGCAATCCAGTCGGTCCTCCAGCCCCCAACCCTACTTCCCCAGTTTCTCACCTGCCTCAGCTCGCGGGTCCTGTCCCGCATGGCGGCGGGAGCTCTCTCCCCGGCGTCTGAGCCCAGAGGGCCTCAAGATTCTAAGTTTGGAAGTCCCGCACCCCACTCACATTGACAGCCCCCTCCCTCACCCTGCGGACCCCAACACCCTCATGAGCCGCCAAAGACCCTGACCCTCGCACTGTCCACAGTCAATGGGAAGGAGCCGACTTCAGGACCCCCCCAAGTTCCACAGGTTGGAATTCCCTTTTCTTCCCCCCCTCCCGCTCCCGTAGCTTCAGCCCCGCCCCTCTGGGATAGTTGGGGCATGCGCAGCAGGTCGCGTCTCTTCCTCGCCCGAGGGAAAGGCGAGGTCGGAAGCTATAGAGCCCCGAACGGAAGCAAAACTGCTTCAATGCTACAGCCCTCCCCCTTTACCGGAACCGTCGCTTCTTCCAACGGAAATCTGTTGCCAAAAGGGGTGGGAATGCGTCATTTCTATGTAATCGAAAAAGACCCGCATCTCACATCACCCCATGGCGCCCCTCGCGTCACGTGAGCGGCTTGGTCCCAGCCTCGCAAACAGCAGAACGTGACTCTGACTGTCACGTGTCCCGGCTCTGTCAACGCTGCCTCCGAGACCAGTCTCACGACGTCCACGGCACCCGGGCTCTGAGCTATTCCCCTACAGCCCCCGCGAGGTGGGGCGGAGGGCACTGACTATCCCAGAGACCTTTTGAGGCAGTGGGTGGTGGGACATTGGCTTGAATTCGCTTGTATTCTTTTGGGGACCAGGAGCGTTGGCAGACTTACGACTTAGAATTGGGACTGTCAGCATCATGGGACCTTGAAAGTCAGAAAATAACAATATCCGAAGTCTTCAGCGTCAAAGAATTGCAGGGGTTAGTAGGCAGAGAATCTGGGGGTGGAAAGTGACCTCACCCAAGGCAGAAATTTCTTCCGCATACTCCTGGCTCAGCCTCTGACAGGTGGGCGGCCGGCGCCCTGCAGGAACACTGCAGTCCCGCTGCACTCACCAGTTTCCGATCAGTGAGACCATTTCAGGACATCTCAGGCTGAGAAAAAAAGTGTCTGTATTATGTTGAGCGGGCTGCTTCCTTGCCACTCACACCTCCCACCCCTACTCTTCGCCTGAGGTCATAGCATGACTGTCTTGCTCTTATCTAAATCCTCACCATCAAGTTCAGTACCTACTGCTGTAAAGGACTCACGAAATATTTCTGAACAGAATTTTAGCCTGTCGTGTATACGAAGACGAAGCCCATGGTTCCCTGATCTTTAGACTTTACGCTCTTTCACGGTGCCACTTCCCTAACCTGGCTCTCTATACATTCACTTGAGTGATATTTATAGGGCACATACTATGGACTAGACACTGTTACAGGGACTGGAGATAATCAGGGACTAACAGACAAAAATCTCTGCTCTTGTGGAACTTACATTTTATAGGAGGAGTTCCCAAAGCACTCAGTCTCCACATAGCCAAGAATGCATAGATCATATACATATGTCAAGAGTACAGCTCTTTGCAGTGAACTCATGCAAAACTTCAAGCAAGAGAAGGAAAGGTCCCTCTCCAGTATGCACTGGTCAGGAAACCTATATTCTTGTGCCTGAGTTGCTACAGACTACAGAGTCACTTCTTGCTTCTGGGCCTTGATCTCCCATCTGTACAATGGGTAACAGCAGGGGGATGGAAAGGAGGATCAACTTTATCAATATGCCCTGCTCTTGCCGAGTGCAGTGACGCTCACCTGTAATCCCAAAGGCTTAGGAGGCTGAGGCAGGAGGATTGAGAGTTCAAAGCCAGCCTCAGCAATTTAGCAAGGCCCTAAGTAACTTAGCGAGACCCTGTCTCTAATAAAATATAAAAAAGGACTGGTGATGTGGTTCCGAGGTTAAACACCCCTGGGATCAATCCCCAATAAGAAAAAGAAAAGAAAGGTGATGAAGTTCAATGATTATGAAGTTGGAAACTGTCAAGTGCTGAGTGAGGGACTTTGGTGTTTCTTTTCCCCCTTAGAACTCAGCTTGCCTGAGTTTGCGAATGGAATGAAGATGCTGCTGCCAATCAATGTACAGAGGGAATTTAGGGTTGGAGGGCTTATCAGGAGGCTAAGGGTGAGGTCCCTTAAAGATCATGAAGAAGAATTTCTCTGCACTTGGGTCTTCGGTTTTAGCCTGTGCCTCTCCAATTAACTGCCACTCGCCTCCTGCTGCTGCCCCCACATCTTTTCTCTCCTCCTCCTCCTTCTCCATATATATATATATATATATATATATATATATATATATAATTTATTTTTTTATTATGTGGTGCTGAGGATCGAACCCAGTGCCTCACACATGTGAGGCAAGTGCTCAACCACTGAGCTACAACCCCAGCCCCCCCTCCTCTTCCTCCTCCTCCTCTTTCTCCTCCTCCTCCTTCTTCTCCTTCTCTCTCTCTCTCTCTCTCTGGAAGTGGAAGGACTCTTGAGCACCTGACTGTATGTGATCTTGAATGATTGCTTCTTTCTGGGACACAATTCCCTCATTTGACAACTTGGTCTGGCAACTTCTGCCTTGCCTAAAGTAAGAATTGGATGATGTCAAGGGAGGTTAGGAAGGATATAGAAGGGTCTTGTAAATTCATGAGGGTTTCCCCCTCTCTGGGATTTTACTACTGTGCATTCCAGCTCTCTGTGGGCCCTGAGTCCCATCTGCTTCTGTATCTCAGCCTCTTGATGACTTTCTTCCTTTTCTTTCTCTCTCTCTTTCTTTTCTTTTCTTTTTTTTTTTTTTTTTTTTTTTTTTTTGTAGTGGGGATTTAATGCAGAGGCTCTTTACCACTAGACTACATCCCTAGCCCTTTCTATTTTCCATTTTGAGACAGAGTCTTGCTAAATTGTTTAGGGCCTTGCTAAATTGCTGAGGTTAATTTCAAAAACTTGCAATCCTCCAGCCTCAGCCTCCCAAATCACTGGGATTACAGGCGTGCCCCACTGTGCCCAGCTTGATGATTTGCTTTCTTGGTTCCAAGCTGCAATATGAAGTTGTTGGTGTCTCTGTTAAGCAACTCAGGATTATGATATTCATTATTTCATATATGGTCTCTGGGTGGGATTACAGGGCTTTGGGATGGTGACTAAAGGTCACAAGAAGCTGGACTTAAAGCACGGAGTGGTGTGTAGAGGGGACAGACCATTCAGAAACTGAGCCTTTTGTTACTTCCAGTCCCTCTGAGTGACCTTGAAATATGTATTAAGTACATTGGCCTTGGGTGTGTAGGTATTGGGGGGTGTATATTTTTTCCAGTCTGTCTGAAGCTCAGACTCCACCTAGTCCTGATGCTTAGCAACCTGTCCTGTCCCTTCTACCTGAAGGTATGATCCTACCCACACTGGAGCCAGATGACCTGGGCAGGGATCCCTGCTCATTCACCTACTAACTCTGTGAGGCAGGTTACTTAACCTATCTGTGCCTCAGTTCCCATCTGAAAAATGGGAAGAATAGTGGTACCAAATAGATTTGCTATAAGGATTAAATGAGATGATATAAGTAAAGAGAATAAGCAGATCTGCTATAGGACAGTGCTATATAAGTATTTTTTCTATTTTATGAGGGTAAAGATGTTGGTTGTTACTCTGAGGCTTTCAGCATCCCCAGTGTCTCTGCTGGGGATTCCATATAGTTGCTTGTCTAAAGCCTGCCTTCCTCTTTCCATCCCCTGAGCACCACTGTACACTGGGTGCTAATCTACTCACTAATTCCTGCACATCTCTCATGTCTCCACTTGGATCTGACAGACTGTATATTTTGCTTATTTATTTTATATTTTGTCTGTCTTTATCTCTACCACACTCACTAGATAAGAACTTCATGGGACTGTGGTGATAGACTCACTTGCCTAGTATGTGTGAGGCCCTGGGTTTGATCTGCAGTACCACATTAAAAAATAAATTAATTAAATGGAGTATAAAACAACAACAACAACAATAATTTCATGAAGCCAGGTATGGTGGTGCATGCCTGTGATCCTAGCAGGAGGCTGACACAGGAGGATTGTAAGTTTAAAGCTAGTCTCAGCAATTTAGTGAGGCCCTCAGCAACTTAATGAGATCCTAACTCAAAATAAAAAATAAAAAAGGGCTGGGGAATGTGGCTCAGTAGTTAAGCTCCTGGGTTCAATCCCCAATACAAAAAAAAAAATCTTTCATGAGGACTGGGATTTTTACCTGCCTTATACACTAGTGTGTCTCCAGCAACTACAACAGTGTTTCACATATACTAACTGGTCGGTAAATATTCATGAGTGAATAGAATTATTCATTTTTCATTTTATATTTATATAGTATTTATTTGTACCAGGCACCAATATAAACAACTTTATAAACATTAACCCATTTAATTGTAATAATTCTATAAGATGGATGCTATTACTGCCCTCATTTTACAGGAAAGAAAACTGACCACAGAGAAGTTAAGTAACTTACCCAAAGTTTCACAATTGGTAAATGATAAAGCTAGGATTTGAAGCCAGATAGTGCAACTATAGGGTGTGTACTCTTAACCATTACACTATGATCCAAGGAAAATACCAGTTAGGGGTGGCTCTGCATGTTCCACCACCTCTGGGGACTTGCTGCCACCTATTGATGTTTTGGATTATCTGGGGGGAGGAGGGGGCTGATGCTTGCTGACTGAACTGCCTCTGTTCCCCTGTCACAGGGTCTCCAAACCTGCTGGGTTGGAACTGACTCTTGGAGAGGTTCTTGGTCCTCCTCTTTCCTCATTTACTTTGTCTCCAGAAGCCAAAGATATCCACCCATATGTCACTTAAGAGCCTCCAATCACCAAGACTATTTCTGTGCAAACCCCGTGATCCATGAACGGAGCCCACATAGTTCTGTCTTCTTGAGCCTGTCTGGGGCCTGAACTTGACTACTCCTTAGAGTTCCATCTGAGTGACCTTCCCCTCTTCAAATTCTACACACACTCCTATGGTTTTAACTGACATCCATATGCTTGCCTCCAAAGGTGCATCTTCAACCCAAACTTTCTCCTGAGCTCCAGATCCCAAATCCCAGAATCCACTGGCCTCCTGGATGTCCCCTCCTGGAGGCCACACAGGCATCTGAAGCCCAACATACACAAAACAGGATGTATCACCTTCCCCTGGAAACCTCCTAAACCAGTTTCCTGTCTTCCTGTGTTTCCTCTTCACGTGGGTGATAAGTGACACTATTAACTCATGCCA